AAACAAATTGCCAGGTATGATGGCATGTGGTATAGTCCCAGCTACTCAGGATCCTGGGGCAGGAGGATCCCTTGAGCCCGGGAATTTGAAGCTGCTATGAGCCATGATTGCACCACTGTACTCTACCCTGCAAAACCCTGTCTTGGAAAAGAACAAAGTGGCTCACGTCTGTAATCCCAGCACTTTGGGAGGCTGAAGTGGGCAGATTACATGAGGTCAGGAGTTTGAGACCACCCTGGCCAGCATGGTGAAACCCCATCTCTACTAAAAATACAAAAATTAGTCAGCCATGGTGGCACATGCCTGTAGTCCCAGCTACTTGGGAGGCTGAGGCATGAGAACTGCTTGAACCCAGGAGACAGGTTACAGTGAGCCAAGAATGTGCCACTGCACTCCAGCCTGGGTGGCACAGTGAGACTGTCCAAAAAAAAAAAAAGAACAAAGCAACCCTGACAACCAGGGTTAGCCTGATACTCTTAGGTAGGCCTTGTTATCCCAGTGTAAATAAATAATTTCAGGCCGGGCGCGGTGGCTCAAGCCTGTAATCCCAGCACTTTGGGAGGCCGAGGCGGGTGGATCACGAGGTCAAGAGATTGAGACCATCCTGGTCAACATGGTGAAACCCCGTCTCTACCAAAAATACAAAAAATTAGCTGGGCATGGTGGTGCGTGCCTGTAATCCCAGCTACTCAGGAGGCTGAGGCAGGAGAATTGCCTGAACCCAGGAGGCGGAGGTTGCGGTGAGCCGAGATCGCGCCATTGCACTCCAGCCTGGGTAACATGAGTGAAACTCTGTCTCAAAAAAATAATAATAATAATAATAATTTCAGAGAATATCAACATCAGACAAGGCCACTCTGTAACTGTGATAAAGACAAAACAAGACCACTCTGTAATCATATCTAAACACAGACCAAAACAAGAACACTGCCTAAACCACAAAAAGATCAAACATCCCTTTAACCTGGCTCAGTGTTGTAACTCCTTTCCAGAATTCTTACTGAGAGGGCCCTCGATCCCCTATGGTTTAGGTTCTCCTAGGTACAACAAAGAGCTGTATCTGACTTGTTCTGCTACAGGTGGGTCCCTGGCAGTCTTTGGCTGGAGAGTGTTGACAATGGGAAGAGTTCATGTCTAAAATTAAATACCTCAAACTGTGTACATCATCACTCTGCCTATCACCATCCTTCTCCTCAACTCACACCCCACCCTCACCCCGTTCAAGAGTCCTCCTTTCTTGAATTCTTTTCTGTAGTCCCCTGGTTTTCCTGAGTTCCCTGCTCCTCCACAGCAAGCAGTTCTTCTTGCCCTCTACATGTACGTTTTTCAAGGTTCTGTCCTTAGCTTATCTGTCAATATCAGTGGTTCTTAACCATTTTTGGCTCATAGCACTGTCTTTGAAAATCTAAGGACAAAAACTAAGAACTACTTCCCACACCACCCCCCCAACAATCTTAACCAAAGTATACATATAATCAAAACTTTGCAATTTTAGGGAAAGTTTATACAACTCAAGCCAGGAATGCCTTCTCTACTCTCCCCATGGTAATGTAACAATTTCAGTAATTCCTTCTATATAAACGCCTGCCAAATGACTAAATTCAATCCTTACTCTCTGCCGAGCTTCATTCAACTAATTGATGAAAAAGGCAACTGTGAGGTGCAAATCTTACAGTTTTCTAGACACCTAAAGCTCCTGTCATACTAGATTTTCAATATTCCTCATAAACTGTTAATACTTGCCTCATAAAAATTCTGATTTTGGGCAACAATCCTGCAGGATGCAGGATGTGCACATTTACCCCAGAGCCCAAAGTATAAAAAAAAGAAATATTAAGAAAAAAAAATCTGATTTCCAGCTTCTCTTTAAAAAAGAGAGGCTGGGAGTGGTGGCTCACGCCTGTAATCCAAGCACTTTGGAGGCCAAGGTGGGCAGATCACCTGAGGTCGGGAGTTCAAGACCAGCCTGACCAACATGGTGAAACCCTGTCTTTAAAATAATAAAATTAAATAAAATTAAAATTAAAAAAAAAAAGAGAAAGAAAATTTTTTTTTTTGAGATGGAGTCTCGCTCTGTCACCCAGGCTGGAGCGCAATGGCAAGATCTCAGCTCACTATAATCTCCACCTCCCAGGTTCAAGTGATTCTTCTGCCCCAGCCTCCCGAGTAGTTGGGATTACAGGCACCCACCATCATGCCTGGCTAATTTTTTTGTACTTTTGTAGAGATGAGGTTTCACCATGTTGGCCAGTCTGGTCTCGAACCCCTGACCTCAGCTGATCTGCCTGCCTTGGCCTCCCAAAGTGTTGGGATTACAGGCGTGAGCCACCGCGCCCAATGAAAGAATTTTTTTTTTTTTTTTTGAGATGAGTCTTGTTCTGTCACCCAGGCTAGAATGCAGTGGCACGATCTTGGCTCACTGCAACCTCCACCTCCCAGGTTCAAGCAATTCTCCTGCCTCAGTCTCCTAAGTAACTGGGACTACAGGCGACCACCACCACACCCAGCTAATTTTTGTATTTTTAGCGGAGACGAGGTTTCACCATATTGGCCAGGCTGGTCTCGAACTCCTGACTTTGTGATCCGCCCGCCTGAGCCTTCCAAAGAGCTGGGATTACAGGCGTGAGTCACTGTACCCAGCCAAGAAAATCTTTTTAACATTAGGTCCAAATTCCTACATGGCATCAGCTGGCTGAAGTCAGGAATTCCTTCTGTAGTTCTTTGTAGCCCCTACTACTCCTTACTGTCTTGTGCCTAACAAACTTCCTTTCACCTAGCTTTTCTGTCTGGCTCTGCAGGCAATCTGAATTTGCATAAGTCTAAACCACAAAAATATACCTAACCCATCCCAGCTGCCAGACCCATGTTCTAATTAAGGTTATACCACCTCTACTTCTTTAACGACTGTATTGTTATTAATGATAAAAAAACAACAGTTGGCTATTCTTGCTGTTACTGCTGTGCTCAGTGGGGCCAAGAAATTTGGGGATTGAATGACTGCTCCTAGTCTGATTGTCAGCCCACAATAGTGGGACATTCTACATCAAAACTTTACTATTGAGAATAATCTCTCCTACCTCTGAAATCTTCACACATTATCCAAAGGCAGTTCCAATTATTTACATAATTTCCTCTCTTCAAATCATGGGAAAAGGTTATAGAATCATTTTTACCGCTGCTAGTACTTCCAAATAAGCAAAATATTGCTAACTTAGAGTATTTCCCAGATGCATGCAGACACCTTCTCAGCACCAGGTATTATCACTCCCATTTTGCAGATTCAAAAACAAAAGCACAAAGAAAGTAATCATTTACCCAATGTCACAAAGCTCAAGAGAAGAGCACTGCTCCTAGTTCCGTGCTTTGGTTCTGGAAGCTAACCAAATACAAATAAATGCTAACTCTAAAATGAAAACAGCTCCCCTTGCCCCAGTCACTAGGTTATGAGGATGTAGGAAAACAGAAAGAGGTAGGAATTAAAAGTAGGTTAAATTATTATGTATCATGCTTGCCTTCAAAAATAGTGTCAATAAATTCAAGAAGCAAGAGACCATGATGATTAATTCAGTTTATAATTCAGTAATATTTGCAGGGCTAAACAGTATGATGCATGTGTGGGGAGTGGAATGAACTCTTCCAAGCAGGAGACTCTTTCTATTCCAAGTGACAAGGATAACAGTTCTCAACCATGAGTGGGCAGCTGGAGAGACCAAGAAAGGGAAGTTCTGTGGAAGCCTGTTGCCACCACTTAGTTTTGAAAGGCTTCTGTGTAAGACAAGCCACTCTCAACAGAAGAGGAAATGAAAGCTTGGCCCCAACCACCATGGTATTATTTCCTTCCTCAAAATTGTTTAAAATTTTGCGTATGTCCTTTATAAACAGACCAACCACCATGGTATTATTTCCTTCCTTAAAACTGTTTAAATTTTTGCCTATGCCCTTTATAAACAGACACTTCTCCCAGTACTTAAGACTTTTTTTGATCTAAAGCAATCTTCTCTCTTTTAATGATCTAAAATGTGTTTCAGTCCAGGGTCAATTTACTCACCCATATGACATTACTTGTCTATTTGCACAGGGTGAGGTGAAAACGAAGGGAGGGCTGGGCATAATCATTTCCCACCCATAGGCCCTAGGCCCTGCTTTTTTTCATTTGTCATTCCTCTGACATCATGCTATTCATGAACTCTGTTCCAATTGTTTTCTCTATCTGATTTTATCCCGGCCTATAATTGGGTCACTTACAAAGCTTACCTTCACTCATTTATACCTGTCTTTCTAGTCACTCTTAAAAAGGCTACTTTCCAAAAAGAAAATGCTTATACACTGAAATATACTGCCAGACACACATTCCCTGCCTTACTTATAGGAAACAGTCCATGTATTTCTCATGTTTGTTTATACATTTTTAGATTCTATTCACTAAAAAGCAGCCAAGTGTGCTATTTTAAATACTTTGACATATGTCCTTAGGCTGTTTTCACTATTATGTATCCTGAATGATGCTCTGAGCATTATTATTTCTTTTTTTTAATTTTTTTTTGAGATGGGGTTTCACCATGTTGGCCAAGATGGTCTCGATCTCCTGAACCCGTGATCCACCCACCTCGGCCTCCCAAAGTGCTGGGATTACAGGAGTGAGCCACCTCCCCCAGCCACATCATTTCTTAACTCTTTCCATTGAGGCCTATGGTTTTAAAACCAGCATAAAAGATGAGGCAAAAACAAACAAAAAACAATCCTCTAGAAGCAGCACATCCAGAGAGCAAGGGCCTAAAGAAATATAGTCCTTTGAAGACTTATCAGAAAAGAAATGTAGGCATGAAAAAAGAAGCACAAGAAGAGAGGAAAAAGTCATCAACGGGAAGGAATGGAAGGGAGAGTAAGGCAAGTCCCTCCCAAAAGCAGCAGATGGGAAAAGTAAGAGCAAGAGGTTCTAGAGCCAGTAGAGCAACATATCCAGGACCCAGGGGAGAGTTCACAGCCCCCCAGACACTTACCGTGTTGCATTTTGTGCCACACACCACTTGCCTATGATTCAACCACTGAGATGCAAACACTTTATTAAGGGTCCCAAGTTGAAACTCTCTCTCCTTCAGGAGACCGGGAAGTTGCTGTGCTGCATAACCATGCAACACTCGAGAGTAGCTGGTTTCATTCTGCAGCCTGACTTCCCGGTTCTTCAGGTAGTATACCAAGGATCTCTTCACAGGAGGAAGTCTTTTCCTTTTGTGAAGCGAGTGATCCCAGCCAAACTGTGGAAAGCAACATTAGAAATCAGGGCTTTGGCCACTCTTGTTTAGAACGGATCCTACTGTATTACAGAAATCACCAACAACTCACACTGTAGGATTTACAAACACAAGGGAACAAGAATCTCAATCCAGTAAGTCGCTTAACTCTTCCAACATTGAAAAGATGTTGCTCACAGTCAAACTTACCTATGCGAATTACAAGGGCTGAAAGTCAAGGGAATGAATGCAGAATAGAACAGGCTAAAAGGTTTACTAGACCTTTTAGGAGTGAAGGATTGAAGGAAATGGGAGGTGAAGTGTTTCCCATATCGATCTGGGCTGCATCTCTACCCATCTCCCTTCTCCCTCTCAGTCTGTACTCCCAGTGGAGCACGGAAGATACAGTCCAAGGAGCCAGGTCTTCCAGGGATGCACGAATCAATGGCCGTCCCTCTGTCATCATGCCCGCACTCCAGGCAGTTGCAGAATTCGAAAACTCAACCACCAAAGGGATAGTAGATCCCGGAAAATCAGAGGCCACATCTAGGTCCAAGAAGGCCTTCCTCTCCAAAGGGGGCAGTATAGAGATGATACCTGGAAACTGTTGTTTCTTTTGGGGTCCAAATCCAAAAGGCCCAGCTCAGGGTTGGGCATACATATAGGAAGACTCTTTCCTTCCTCGAGGAGGGACGTAATCATCCCAGCTTCCTAAGGCCCATGGAAGGTAGAGTTCACTCCCCCTCCTGATATCTCCTTGGAGGCTGGTTTTGTTTCAGATTCCCTTAACTTCGGTTTCTCCTTCCTCCGGAACCAAAATTCTGGTTTCTTTTCAAGCCCTATCCATGGCTGCAGTCCTCCCGAGGATTATGTCCCATTGCTGAGTTCCCCTTTGGCTCCTCCCCGCCCTGGCCTATATCCCCTCCAGTTAACTCCAGAGGGTCCAGTCCTGACTCTATAGGGCCTGGCCCCATTCTTGTTTTGCCTCTGACTACAGACCTTGAACCCCGATTCCTTTCGCAGGATCTGCGGACCCTAAGTCTCTCCTGGTGCCTCGGCCTCATCACCCAGGTCCAGGCCTCTCAGCCCTCACCTGCGAGTCCTGAGCGTCGCTCCCAGCTCCCGGCGAGGCGGGCGCTTTCCGCTTCCTGCTAACTGCTTTCCGGGCCATAGTGGACAGCGCTGCCGCTGCCCCGCAGCCACATGGGGCGGGGGAAGCGAGGGGTAGCAGGACGGCGGGTCATATACTGGGCCCCGGGGCCGCGCACCTTAGTGCGCCCGGCCCGGAAAATGGCCCGGACCCGGAGCGGCAGCAGAAAGAAGGGAAAGCGAGAGGAAGGATTGGGGCTGGGAAAGGAAAGGGGAAACGAGAACGACAGGCTTTCCGACGGCAGAGCCTGGAAGGACGGCGAGCGGCTAGAACCAAAACACCCCCTCCCTCGCCCGCGCGCCGTCACCTTTGCGCAGCCGCACTTCCGACAGCGTCGCCACGGAGACGCCGCCGGAACGAGAGGGGTGGGATTTAGGGCTTGGCAGAGAGTTCCCTACCGTTTCCCGGGCGCCGCCAGACCTTTTCCAACGGTCGTTTGGCAGCCGCTGGAGGTGGACGAGCTGGGGCCAAGAGAATCTGGCTTCTGGTCGCTGATCTCCGACCCCAGCCCGCCCATCTGAAGGCACCCGGAAGTGAGGACAACCAGCCCTGCTGGGGGAAGGAATCCCCTATAGTGCTGGCCTTAACCTGGTAGCCGCCATCAGTTACCTCCCATATCTAGCACCAAACGTTTCCCTGAATCTATCACAAACCGTACCCTGGCGCCAAGGACTGGACAGGGGGGTGAGGGGTGTGGCAGAAACCACCCCCACCCCTCAAGGTGAAGTCCAGTCGGGAAACCAGGCCAGTGTGGCCAGACTTTATACCACCGCTGAGTTCCCCTTTGGCTCCTCCCCGCCCTAGCCTATATGCCCTCCAGTTAACTCCAGAGGGTCCAGCCCTGACTCTATAGGGCCTGGCCCCATTCTTGTTTTGCCTCTAACTACACAACCAACCCAGGCCGCCCGACGGGACTCTGGCTACCCTCTTCCCACCCCTGCGTAGCTCTCAGGCTCCATTCTCTGCTCTGTCTCCTCCAAGTCCTTTCTCCTGTACAAGCTGCTTCAGCCCCTCAGTCACCTTCCCCTTCACCATTCCCATGACCTGCCATCTAAACCAGAGGGTCTTTTGTGCTTTATGAAGTAGGCATCACGCTGTAACTTATCTGTCACTGCCTGCCTCACTCTTGGAGTCAGGTTGTGTCTCCATTAGAGGAGAATTTTGAACCACAGGAAAGAGAGTGGTCATTTTTGGCTTGCCAGTCCAGTTAGAGCTGGAATTGGCCACCAAACAAGGGGGCTTCATCAGGATCACCCTTGCCTCCATTTTCGGAAGATCTTGAAGGAATATGACTGTCAGCCTTCACTTTCCACAAGCAAACAAACCCTCTGAGTAAGCAGGATGCTCTTGCTTGGAGCCGGTTGGCCTCAGGCTGTGGTGCCCAGTTACCTGCTGGTCCCTTCAGGCTTCAAGCCTCAGGTCTCATACCTCCAGGGAGTTCTGTTGGCCCATCTGAAGTTCTGCCTACAAGGAGATTTGGATTTGTTTTCCTAGTTGAACCAAAGACCAGATTGAAACAGGATCTCCTGCCATCAGTGCTGCCACTAACCGCTAACGTCTTGGGAAAGGCAGTTCCATCTTATTTGGTCAGGCCTGTCCCTTTAGAGATATGCACATAGTGAATGGGCCAGGAGTGGGTCAGCTTGCTTTTTTGAGTCTGTTCTAGTTATGTCTTGCCTCAAAATGCTCTGGATCACCCACATGCCCTTGCACAAGAGTTTGGAATCCTTTGAGAATCTCTAGGGTCAGACTGTGCTTGGATCCTAGTCTCCTCTGCCAGTGGCACACTGGGCACTGCTGCAGGCTCTTTCTCAAAGTTCCTTTACTTCATCTTCACATCCCAGGAACCATCCCCAAATGCACCTTATAGCAGAGCTCACCATTCCTTTTTTTTTTTTGAAACTGAGCCTTGCTCTGTAGCACAGACTGGAGAGTGCAATGGCACAGTCTTGGCTCACTGCAACCTCTGCCTCCCAGGTTCAAGCAATTCTCCTGCCTCAGCCTCCTGAGTAACTGGGGTTACAGGTGTGTGCCACCACGACCAGCTAATTTTTGTATTAGTAGAGATGGGGTTTTGCCATGTTGGCCAGGCTGGTCTCGAACTCCAGATCTCAGGTGATCCATCTGCCCCAGTGTCCCAAAGTGCTTGGATTGCAGGTGTGAGCCACTGCACCTGGCCAAGAGCTCACCGTTTCTACACAAATAAAATAGAATGAAAGTCTATTTCTAGAAGAAGAAATTTTGAATTTTGAAGAATCTTCTAATAGAAGAAATTTTGGAAATTTTAAAGTTCATAATTGCTTTTGAAAGACTGCAGCCTGGCGCAATGGTTCACGCCTCTAATCCCAGCACTTTGGGAGGCCAAGGCAGGTGGATCACCTGAGGTCAGGAGTTTGAGACCAGCCTGGCCAACATGGTGAAACCCTGTCTCTACTAAAAATACAAAAATTAGCCAGGCATGGTGGCAGGCACTGGTAATTTCAGCTACTTGGGAGGCTGAGGCAGGAGAATTGCCTGAAATCAGGAGGCAGAGGTTGGAGTGGGCCTAGATCATGTCACTGCACTCCAGCCTGAGCGACAGAGCAAGACTCCCTCTCAAAAAAAAAAAAAAAAAAAAAAATCCAAAAAACAAACAAACCGGCCGGGCGCGGTGGCTCACGCCTATAATCCCAGCACTTTGGGAGGCCCAGGCGGGTGGATCACGAGGTCAAGAGATCGAGACCATCCTGGTCAACAAGGTGAAACCTCGTCTCTACTAAAAATACAAAAATTAGCTGGGCATGATGGTGCGTGCCTGTAGTCCCAGCTACTCGGGAGGCTGAGGCCGGAGAATTGCTTGAACCCAGGAGGCGGAGGTTGCAGTGAGCCGAGATCGTGCCATTGCACTCCAGTCTGGGCAACAATAGCGAAACTCCGTCTCAAAAAAAAAAAAAAAAACAAACAAACAAACAAAAATCTGCTAGTAGGCGGTTGCAGTGGCTTATCCCAGCAATTTGAGACGCAAAGGTGGGGGGGATCACTTGAGGTCAGGAGTTTGAGACTGGTCTGGCCAACATGGTGAAACCCCTTCTCTACTAAAAATACAAAAATTAACCAGCCCTGGTGGTGCATGCCTGTAGTCCCAGCTATTTGGGAAGCTGAGGTGGGAGGATCACTTGCATCTGGGAGGCAGAGGTTGCAGTGAGCTTAGATCGTGCCACTGGACTCCAGCCAGGGCGACAGAGCAAAATCCTATCTAAAAAAAAAAAAAAAAAACCAACAAAAAAATAATAAAGGGCTGGGCACGGTGGCTCACACCTGTAATCCCAGCACTTTGGGAAGCCAAGGCGGGCAGATCATGAGGTCAAGAGATCAAGACCATCCTGGTCAACATGGTGAAACCCCATCTCTACTAAAAATACAAAAATTAACTGGGTGTGGTGGTACATGCCTGTAATCCCAGCTGCTTGGGAGGCTGAGGCAGGAGAATCACTTGAATCCAGGAGGTGGAGGTTGCAGTGTGCTGAGATCGTGCCACTGCACTCCAGCCTGGGCAACGGAAGGAAGAAAGGTAGGAAGGTGGGAAGGTAAGAAGGAAGGAAGGAAGGAAGGGAGGGAGGGAGAAAGGGAGGGAGGGCACAGTATCTAACCCCTATAATCCCAGCACTTTGGGAGGCTGAGGCAGGCAGATTGCTTGAACCCAGGAGTTTGAGACCAGCCTAGGCAACATGGCAAAACGCTGTCTCTACAAAAACATACAAAAATTAGCTGGGTGGGGTGGCAAGCACTTGTAGTTCCAGCTACTTGGGAGTTGGGAGGCTGAGGTGGGAGGATAGCTTGAGCCCAGAAGGTGGAGGCTGCAGGTGGAGAGCCAAGATCATGCCACTGCACTCCAGCCTGGACAATTCAGACCCTGTCTCCAAAAAAATCAAACACAAAGTAGTAATTCCTGTTTTTATTTTTATTTTTTGAGAGGCAAGGTCTCACTTTGTTGTCCAGACTGGAGTGCAGTGGCACGGCATGGATGTGCCACCACATCTAGCTTTTTTTATTTTTTATGGAGACGGAGTGTCACCTTGTTGCCTAGAAGTTCACTTCAGCTTAAGCCATCCTCCCACCTTGACCTCCCAAAATGCTGGGATTACAGACATGAGATACTGAGCCCAACCAAAGCAGTAATTCCTAAATGTAATTAGTAATGCCTAATTTCATGTTTATGAAGTTTGAAAACAGGCACAACTGATTGATGGTAAGAGAAGTCGGTCACTACACTTAAGCAGAGTTACCAACTGGCAGGGGACCTCAGAGAGCCTTCTGATGTTCTAAAATTTATTTTTTTTTTTTCGTTTTGATATGGAGTCTCACTCTCCCACCTAGGTTGGGGTGCAGTGGCGCAATCTCAGCTCACTGTAACCTCTACCTCCCGAGTTCAAGAAAGTTTCCTGCCCCAGCCTCCCAAGTAGCTGGGACTGCAGGCCTGGAGCGAGGATGTGGCCTGTATATTGCCTAATCTTGCCTAGAACTGTCTGTACCTGCTGTTCTTTTACTTATGCCTTAACTTTTGGTTACCTTGATTCCCTGTTCTCCTGTCTCAGAATGAGAATAACTTGATCAAATGTGCATTCAAAAAATTAGCTGCAGAATGCAGAACAGAATAACAAGAGACCATAGTGGTTCTTTTAGGAAGCCAGATGAATTTGTCCATCTAAGAGACCTTCACAAGTGGTCCAAGCAACAGGTGACTTGGGTGGTTTAGAGATGGGAATAGACTCATAACATGTAAAAGATAAAATCAGCAGAAATGAGGACAGGGTATGAGACTGATGAGAGGCAAAGATTATTCCCAAGCTTTCATATGTTTAGAGAGTATTTTTGTTTTGTTTCATTTGTAGTGCTGAGGGCAAAGTGATGAATTCAATGTTCTGTAACCAGGTTAGGACTACGGTTTAAAAATTTTTCTCCTTCCTAGCCTGATTGTCTCCTAAAGAGTACAGAGAATCATGCAGGATGCAGTCAGAAGAAAAAATACAGAGGAGTCAGACTCACACCTTGTAGTCATAGCTACTTAGGAGACAAGGTGTAGCAGGAGGACTGCTTGAGCCTGGAAGTCCAAGACCAGCCTGGGTAACACAGGAAGACTCCATCTCTTTTTCCTTTCCTTTTTTTTTTTTTAGATGGATTTTTCGCTCTGTTGCCCAGGCTGGAGTGCAATGGCACGATCTCAGCTCACTGCAACCTCTGCTTCCCGGGTTGAAGCCATTCTCCTGCCTCAGCCTCCCGAGTAGCTGGTACTACAAGCGTGCGTCACCAACACTTGGCTAATTTTTGTATTTTTAGTAGAGACGAGTTTTCCCCATGTT